GCATCCAACCCCAAGGAACTGAGCTTCTCGCTGAACTCAAACATGGCATCCAGTAGAGAGCCCATGCCCATGGAACGCAGACTGCCGAGGGAGTATGTTTCTCCACTCAGAAATGTTACTTTCTTCTCCTTGGGACTGAAGAGGGTGGAAAAACGCACCATCAGCACCTAGGAAAGGACGAATGGTGGAACAGGGTCACTTTAAGCAAAGACACCCGGGTTTTTTTTTGACTCAAACACATTCTCGACTGAATGAAGAAACAACGACCGACTCGTAATTTCCCAGAGCAAGCTTGTTTTCATCTGCATCTGAAGAACCACAAAAGAAAAGGGGGGGGGGGGGGGTGCCCAGCCTGGAAAAGTGAGGCGGCATCTAACATGCGTGCTGTTTACATCTTTTGGGAGCAAGCCAAGGCCTAACCGGTAATCCAGTCCAAGTATAAAATTGACAAAGATTTGTAGGTTCAACTTTCTTGTCCTTACTTGCTTGTTTTCCACAGTTGGGCAACTCCTGGAACACAAGAATGCTATTTGGAAAGCGTTCCAAATTCTGAGGAGAGAATGCCCTACTTGTAAAGAAAAACTCCCTGTTCCAATATTAAAAGCAACAAGGATGCAGTCTGCAGGGAGGTCTCAGCTTCAGCTCCCATGAAGCCTTGCCAGCAAGAGTTATGTTCTCCAGATGATAGCAAAACTATTTGACAATTAAAAAGCAATTTCATAACCCTTGAGACTGTGGAAAACAAACCTATCCCAAAAAGAGCCGTATCATCGTGCTTCCTCATTCTTGCTCTGTGCCCTCATAAGTTTCTCTCCAAATCAAAAAATTCATGCTGAACACTGTTGCAGCGCAGAAAAGAACTTGAGGCTAACTAAGGTTGCATCAATCGTTTTTTGCACAGACTTTTTTTTGGGGGGGGCTGCCCACAGAAAGGACGCACGCAGCGCTGACCTGGAAAGTGCCTGCTTTGAGGAGCATGACTTGATCCTGTTGGCAGAGTGACTGGAAGCCCGGGATGCTCTTGGCAAACTCGACCACCTCCTTGACAGCTGGTGTGAAGCATTGTAAGAACTCTTCCCACACTTGCTGGCTGCTCTTGCCACTGCCACAATAAGGGGTGGCATTCAGAGGACACGCCTAGATGCCACAAAGAGATTGGTAAGAAAGAGGTTATGTTTGGTCAAGCAAAGCTCAATGCAAACGATCCATTTTAACACTCCAACGGTAATTATTTAATACTTTTAAAAGTTGTTTGTTCTCGCAACACATAAACAGGGTGGCTTTGTTATTAGAATACATAGTAAACTAGTTTCACTACAAAGGCGCATCCAGATATAATGAAAGGACAGAATTGGTAAAGGGATACGAGGAGAGGGAGAGAGAAGAATGATAAAAGGGTAATTTGCCTCACTGGCTATTCTTTTGGAAAAAAGAATATTTGTAATTCCAGCCCCCCTTGCAGTCAAGGCTATTTCCAAAACACACACACACATATTCTCTCTTTCTCTCTCTCTCTTCCTCTCTCTCTCTTACTTTCTCTTTCTCTCCCTCTCTCTCTTCCTCTCTCTCTCTCTCTCTTTCTCTCTCAATCACTCTCTCTCCCCTCCTTCCCTCTCCCCCCCCACCACACACATGGAATGAAAATATTTTAAAAAATATCTTGGATTACTAGAAAACATTGCTGGAAGGTAAAAGGGATCCATTTGCCATTCTTCACTTGAAAACCCTTCCACGTGCCACCATTTCAAACAGTTTTAGCAGTAAACTCTGTAGCTTGCCAATGTGGACCTGCCATCAACAACTAATTGTCATTTTTAAACTGTATTTGAGAAGTGGCCAAAATGCTTTTATAAAAACAATGGATTGGCTCAAAAAATTGTTCAAAAAAGAAAACACTAGAGTTTTTCATGCAGATGATTTAAGAGAAAACACCGCATTTGTGGGTTTTATTTCTTACTTTCCTTGGTAAGCCTAAGAGCCACGAACAATTGCATAATTTGCCAACACCCGAGGCTATTTTACATTTGTGGTGGCAACTGCTTGTGGCACACAGCTCTTTACCTTGTACCGTCTGATCTGGACATAGCCATTCCATCTGGAGGGCACGCCTTTTACTATTCAATCCTGGGGTTCATGTTTTTAAAAATTAGAAGAGCAAGAGTCATTCCTGACTTAAAGCAGGGGCAAAGATGGGAACTGGCAATGGGAACCACAGATACTAGGCCAGCTTGTTCTGCCAATCCAGATACAAGCCTGTTTGGTTTGCTTTCTTATTTCCACTGCACTACCAATACTATACAGCAGAGGGAGGTCAAGGATTTGGAAATCGTTTTTCTATTGGCAAAGCTGATCTTTTAAATCAGGTATCTAAGGAAGCAGACCCAAATCAGCGCTCTGCAGGCTTTTCTCAATTGTAATATCTGAGGCTTTAAACTTCTGGAAAGAAACACAATGTGGCTCAAGCATAACCAGCAGGGACACCAGAGTGTCTTACTATTACAGCTGCTTTTTGGCTGAGTTCTGGTTGAACAGAGATTCTCTGGGACAAGATGGCATCAGTCATCCCCTACTATTTCCCATGATCGTTTGCAGGAAATAGTTCCAAAGGGTGTGTGCAGAGCGATTATTTCAAGAAAGCTGCCTGTATGCAGGCGGATCTCTCCCCATCCCCAGCCACCACTCCCCAGTATAAGTCTGGCCTACTTACAATGCCTCTTCTGCTGGTTCCCCGCCATGGACAGCTCCTCTGGGCATTTTCTTCAGAATAACCAAAATCAAAGGATGGGTAGCATCCAGCATTTTGCAGATAATTGGCCTGCTGGGTCTGGAAGATCTCATTGCCATAGCACGAGGGACTGTTGTCAACATAACAGGACGGTTCTTGAGGGCTGTAGCTGGAGAGGCGAAGAGTGGCTGATTCGTATTGCCCATAACCCAGGGAATGATTCAGCTGCGGCTGTTCGTTGTAGTTGGTCAAAGGGGCAGCCTCGGCCCCTGGGGAGCTACTACGCCTGCCCAGACGGTCCTGCCCACTGAGGAAGATGTCATGGTAAGCCCTGGAGATGGTGTTTATTGCTTCCTCTTCCTGGGTGTTAGGGCTGGGTGGAGCATCCGCCTCAGAGCTCAGGCCCACATCCATGGGGACCTCATTCAGGCTGTTCATATAGCTTTGCATCTCATCCAACAGGCGCTGCTTCTCTCGCTTAGGGATGCGCCCAAAACGCACAGCTGTGGAAGGGGAAAAGGAGCGTGACAATCTGAGGGTCAGGGAGACATTAAGCAGTAACAAGCAGCAATAAAATAACTGAACAGGCAGAACCTTCTTCTGTGTCCTAGCCCTACAGAAAGAGAAGCTGCACCCTAATATGACAGTACCGCAGGTGGCATCTCTAGCTGGGGAAATAAGGAAAATGGCACAATTCGTAAACGTCACTTAATACGAAAATGATGACGCTCAGGGAAGCCCACGCAAATTCTCTGAGGCACACAAATGTACAACATGGTTGTCTTCCCCAATTTAGGAGGTGGTGGCAAAGCACTTTGTCTTTGTTCATTCTTCTCCAACAACGAGAGGGAAGATCCAACCCTGCTTCCCAAACCAGCAGGGCCGCCACAAAGCCAAAATTATACGCAGATTCTCAGGCCTCTGGGTCATGTACTTGGGAGAGGCACTGTGCCATTAATCAAAGGACACTGCTTGGTCTCTGCATGCAAGCGGCTCTTCCCCATCGTTCTCTCCTGCTTTGCAAATTCTGACACAAAAGCATTAATCAGCCCAGGGTTTCATTTATCAACCAAGCATTTGCTGACATTGTACCCTTGTGGGAGAATGACTGCAGAGGCAGCACTGCAGGCCAAGAGATGGGACTAAGCTTTTATCCCTCTAAATACACGAACAGCAAAGCATGCCTTGCTATCAGCCCGGCCTTTGCTTGTTTCCTTACCGCTCCCTGACGTTTCCCAATCATTTCAAGCAATGGCAACTACCAAGTTATTGTTCCTTCAAAAAGGGGTGAACAGCCTTCCCAGAGCTGGGGACCGCTGTATTTTATAACACTGGGGAAAGGGAGGAACAGGAGGCAGGTTTCTCATTTCCATCACTGAAGTGCTTCAAAACAAATCGTTCTGCCAAAATTCAGTAGCTAAATTTGGGCAGTGCGATTTGGGGACATGGGAGGAGGGAGCTGAGCCGGTTTTCCATTCCAAGGATGGAAACGGGAGCACGTTGCCTTCTCCTGCTTCATGTCGTCTGTCTCGGGAGCTGTTCAAGAAAAGAGAATCCACTTGAATGGCTCTCAGTGTTAGCCAGTGAATTCTAATGCGCTTGAAAAAAAAAAAATGCCCAAAGCCTGATCATGAAGCAAACATTCATGACTATAGACTGCCATTCAAATGAATTCATCATAAATGCCTTCAAGCCTTTAGTTACAGAGCCATGCTGCTGCAAAGGAGAGACCAACCCTACCCAGATGCTTACCATCTCTTGACATCCCCACCGCCAGACATTTCTTGAAGCGGCAATGCTGGCAGCGGTTGCGATTCATACGCATGATCATGCAGTTTTCATTCTTCACACACATCTTGTAGTTGATGTTCTGCTGGATGCTCCGGCGGAAAAAACCCTGAAGGCCCCAGGAAAGAAGAGTGAGGAGAAGGGAGGTGAGCTAACGAATGGACACGTGTCAAATGAGTCTACTGGTTTTCAGATTTCTATTCTGGTGTCAGCTTTGGAGTATCCCTCATGCCTTTTTTCTGAATGCTGGATGAAGGTATCTAAGGAGACAAAAACTGGTTTGTCTTCCCTTGGATTCCAGGGAGTCAACTAAACAACTAAGAAGTTGATAGGCTCTAGCTCAGAGTCCTCAAACTTGACAGCTTTAAGACTTGTGGACTTCAACTCCCAGAATTCCTCAGCCAGCTATGAGTTTAAGTCCACAAGCCTTAAAGTTGCCAAGTTTGGAGATCTCTGCTAGCTACTTGGAAGAAAATACATGACCGAAACATTCCTTGTTTTGTCAACTGAATTGCTGGAAGACTGGAGGATACTGGCACAGTGCTACTGCTTTACCAATGGAAATTCTGAATCCAGTTGTGGCCATAAATTGAGAATTATTGGTACTGTAGTTCTTATTTTAGAGAAACCAAACAGCCAGTGTAGAATCCAACTTGTGGATTAATAAATTAAAGAAATATGCGTGTTGATGGAGAATCCATTAACTAAAGTAATTTCTCTTTAGCCTGGGATTGAAACCAAAACCCTGTTTCGATTCAGGTTGCACATGCCACCAATAGGCCTGCCAGTGTAGGATTTTATATTAAGTATCCTAAATATTTTGGACTTTGAAAAAACAGGATAATTGACTCTTTTGAACACTAGCATTGGAAAGGCTCCTGAGAACATCAATGGATAGCTAATAAAACAAACTTGTGGATCATCAAATAAAACTACCCAGAGTTTACAGGGCAGACTGAAGTGACCAATTCAAATTAACATACTTTGGAAACTTATATGCTGGGCAAGGTAGCAAGAAAGATAAGAAAAGGATAAGCAGCATCAAGGTTGATGGACTCAAACTGTGGTGGTAATGGGTACATAGGGAGACCTGAAGGGCCAGATTAGGGAAAGGCCATCCTGGAGAAAACCCATCTACATGGTCACTAAAAATTGACACCACCACACTTCAGGGCACGTAATCAACCAATCGATCCTGAGCGTTTCAATGTGAACTATTTATAAACAAAGATGTTTTTAAACCTTCTACAGTCTTGTCATAATAGAAACAAACAAAAGAGAAAGAAAGCAAGGGGATGAACCTACCTTACATCCTTCACAAGCATGAACCCCGTAGTGGAAGCCTGAAGCAATGTCTCCACAGACTTTGCAAAGCAACACCATCCCACCGGTCTCTGCAAAAGAAGAGAGGAACTGATCTTAATTCCCTGCCAGGTCCAGGTTTCTGATCCAACCTCCCTCTTCTCTGACCCAGCCCACTGGTGTAACTTTCCCTAAATTGTCTGTAGAGATTCTCAATCATCCAGGTCATGGTTGCCCCCAAGGTGCTTTTTCCAAAAGGCAGCTGGGTTTTCTTCTTCTTTTTCTCTGAAAATGATTCACGTCACATCCAAGAAGCTGCTTCGGTTCAGAACGAAACGTTTTCCAAGAAAAAAAACCCAAGGAAATCCAGTTGCCTTTTGGAAAAGGGACCCTTGGGTTTCCCTCAATTTGCTGTCCTCCAGAAATAATAAAAGTTAACTCCTATAATCCCAGTCAGCATGCCTTTATTACCACAGGATTATGGGAATGGAAGTTCAGCATGCTTGGGAGGCTAACAGTATGGGAAAGGCTGAGCGTGCCAGATTAGCTCCATCAGAATGGAAACCATCTGAACTTTATTTAAAATGGAAATCACATCGGTCACATGCACACCTGTACAGAAAGATTTTGCACGTTGGATTACTGCACATTTAAACATGTTTTACTGACTAACTCACCAATGACTAAATTCACCTCTCACATTCAGTAGAACTCAAAATTCAAAAGCCATGATTCACCATTGTAACTATCACAAGGGACCAAACCACAACACAGCTTAGTACTGCATGGGAACCTTGCAAAAAGCTACTGTAAATAAAACAATAGTGCTATGCTTCCAATAAGGTGAGCTTTTGAAATTTCAAGGGACTGGGCAGAGATCTATGCCCTCTCTAATGGTTCACTTTTTTGCAAGATTATTTTGAACAATTTTCAACATTTATTTTCAACATTTGATTAAGTCAGAAAATGTGTGCACACACACACACACCAAAAAAAAACAACCCCAAGAGTCACTTTCAAGGAGAATTAACAGTTGTTGGTCTTTCTATCTAGATCCCACGTCCGTACAGAAACAATGATTATTATGTCATACCACCTAAACTAAACTGAGAAGAGGAGGTGTATGTGGGAGAGTCACTTACTTGTGAAAGTGCTGGTGGCTCCATTCTGCTTGGCGGCAGGCACCTTATTTGGTGTTGGGGGGAGCTGGCCCTTGCTGGGGTAGCAGATCCCTTCAGGAAACTGGAAGGCCACCTTGGGTGAAGAGGGGGAGCTGGCCTGCTGAGGCTTGATGGCTCCAATCTCGGTCAGGGTCAGTTCTTCTAACGAGGATGGCAGCGAGTGTTGGGGTGAAGACACCAGGTATCCACTGGGAGGGCTGCCTGGAGTGGGGCTGGAGCCAGCTGTTGAACCCACATAAAGGATCACGCCACCTGGTGCATGAGAAGGGAGAGGAAATTTACCCAGTGCAGAGTAAGAAAGATGACTTTGGTGGAGATATGCAGGAACTATTTACCTAGGCAAAAGGGACTGAAACGTTGTTTAAAGTCCAGAACAATGAAATAGCATTTGGAAGCAGGTCAGACAGAAAACTCCCTAATTTACTGAAGTATAAGGAAGAGGAGGAGGAGGAGGTACAGCACAATCAGACTTACAAGATTCTAGTTATTATAGCCAATCTAAAAGTAGTTTTATCCTTCCTGAAGAGTTGATTCCTGGTCTGGTGTAGCTGACAACCAGGTACTATGGATGGCACTGCAGAGGGATTAAGAATCTGCCAAAAAAAAAAATGGCTGCCTTCCAAGTCAGTGTTCTGGCTGAAAATCTCTGCAAGGGCACACATTTGGGAAAGATAAAGAGCCACTGAACCCATATCCTGTCCAAGGATGATGCTACCCATACTCCACAGATTAACTCACACAATTCCAACCATGGTTTGCCTCAAGCCACGCCACGTACTTCAAACAAAATAAAGTTAGTCCCTTTATAGAGGGATACGCTGCTACTAACCCACCATCAATCTGATCATCCCACTGGATCATGGCCTGCGCAATTTATGCCTGACTAAAGCGAATACCTGTGAGGCACATATTACAGCTGGCCTACCAGAGGCCTCCCTGCCTTCATTGCAATTCCGAGCAAGCAGGCAGGCAAGTTGTTTCTGAAACAAGACTGGTAGGTTGCGTTTGACTCGATGGGTCAGAAGCTATGCAAGCTTCCAATAGTCTGTTGAAAGAAAGGAGACCTGCATTTCTAGGTCACTCGTTCAAGAAATACAAGATCATACATGTGACAGAGGGAAGGATATTTCCAAGCAGCAACAAACTACACCTGAACCTTCCTTTCCTAGCTTTGCGTACTGCATTTTCTTCTTCTTGATGGCCGCAGGAGAGGGAGGATCCAGGCACTTAGAAGCTCTCATTGTCTGTGAGTGAGCAGAGACACAGGATGGAAGCAGTTTCTACAAATGCAGGCGCTGCTGTGTTGCATTTCCACAGGCCTTAACAGCCTGCCTACATAAATGACATTCTTAGTTGGAACACACAGAGGTCAAGAATCTACATTCACATTATCAGAGTGTGCTTCCGGACAAGGCCTTGATTTTGCAATTCCTGTGAGTTGTTCACAGCTCTCTTGTGGGGGAGGTGGGGGTGGGGGGTAGAATGGGGATGTAAGCAGTCAAGCCACAGCACCTTCTCACTTTCAACCTCCTTGCATTTCCTAGTTTCTTTTAAAAAAATAATAATAAGGATAATGCAATAATAACTGCACAGACAGCCACAAAGCAAACAGATTCTTCTTATCCCTCAGCTGCCATTTAGAAATGGCAAACAAACAACAAACAACCCCCACCCCAAGCCTGGCACTGCTGCAGAAACAGAGAAAAACGATGACTCCATTTCTCCTACAAAGACAGTAGGCCACCAACAGAGTCTAGGCTTTGTGCTACCGAACTGCCACTCAGTCCTAGCAGGAACAAAAATAAAGACTCTGCTCTGTACCCAGATGGCAAGCTTTTCTGCCCAAGAGGAACCTCTGCCATACACTACAAGCTGTAGTAGAGGAGATACACACAGCTAAATTGCAACAAGAGCATTTATTCGGCACTCGTGGTTTAAGGCCACTCTTTTTATTCTTGACCCCAGTAAACAAGTGTTTCATTTTTCCAGTCTTCTTTCTGCCAACAGGTTGACCTGCCAAATTTTATAGGGGATGTCAGAGAGGAGGAAGTTAGGAAACTGGATTTGAATTAGGTCATTACCACCCAAAATCATCATTCCCACCCCCACCTATTTTTTTACCTTGAAAAAAATCACTTCGGGGGCATGGCTCTGATCTGTTCTGTGTTTGTTGCCAAGTATGACTCAAGGTACAAAGCCAACGACCAGCTGAATGCATGCAGGCTCCATGTGACTGCTGGACAAGGCCAGAGAAACAGCAGGAAGCATGGCCCAAGAGGCCCAGTCTGCAGAGAACTAGGGCAAACAAATGGCACATACAGGCAAACAACCAAACCTCAGAGCTCTGCAGAAAGTCATTCCAGAAAGCAGCACCTAAGCCAGCCTTGCTTTTGCTTCAGGGCAGAGCCCTTCACCCTGGTTCCCAGGGAATATTTATAAACGGCTGGATTATCGCTCCGTATTTTTAGATAGCAATCTAAGACTATTGAATAACAAAGCAACAGCTTGTCATGAAGTTGCAAATAGAGGAATGTCAGGATGGAGCTCTAGTTTGCACACACATCCAGCCAAAACAAGGAATTAACTAGGGAAGGTCAACTCACAACTAAAAGTGGGCCACATCAGGTGATAGTCCCTTATCTGCTAAAGGATATCTGGTCAGATTTGCAGGCTAACCTGTGCTCCTAAGGCCTATTCCTCAGTTCCTCATAACTGTAGCCTAACAAGCTCCAGTAACCACTTTTGGGAGGGGGGGCACACATATGTTCACAAGATCGCTTTTGTTTCATCTCCAGTTGATTGAGAGAAGCATCTCTGTCATTCTCTGCTCTTGTTTTAAAGTAGCATTTTCTCTCTTCTCCCAACACAGTATTTAGGTTCACTGTTGATGCAGTTGTTGATACCCAAGTTAGGGTGTGCCCAACTTCAGGCCTCCATCCCTTTAGGCTGCTGCAGGCCTCACTTTTCCCTTTTAATCGTTGGATGTGACTTGAACTGCAGGCAAAGCTGAACACCTGGCTTCTTCTTAACCAGTATTTTTTTTTTATAGCGCTTGTCAAACCTTCTCCTTAAAAATACAGGGCTTAGTTCTTTTCTGAGAGCATGCTGGATTTGTATTTTTTAAAATCTTAAGGCCTAGCCTTATAATGTACAGTTCACTTTAAAACAGGAAACAGACTTTGTTTTTGGTGTGAGCTGTCTATCAACATTGGGTGCGTACTATAGGTTTTCCACTACTTTTGCCAAAAAGTAGGCTTTGCATGGCCATATTTTTAACTGTTTTCTCTTTTTGTTATTTGTGAGACTTTCACATGAGTACCGGAACAGTTGCATTTAAGTTGTCCTAACTGGGTAGGGAGAAGGTACCTACTCCATTCTCGGCAGCACTCAGTGCCATGGTGATAAATGCTATTTCATGGAACCTTTCACTATTATATGTTCTACTGGTTCTTTCCAGACACTGCCAGTCGTGAGGTCAGAACGGCCCTCCTTGGTCAATCACGGCTCACTTGCTGACTGCTCCCTTCACCTGCAACATGCCTGAGAGCTATCAGATAGATTGTTTTTAAACACGGATTTAGCTCTCTTTGAGGTGTGCAGGAGGTGCTGCACTAAGCAGCAGCAGAACATCCACCTGCCTCAGCCTGCACCTGCCACCCAATTTCTGGGCATCGTGACAGGTGGTATAAACCTATTATTCCCAGCATCTGGCTAGGTTGTCCTACCTGCCTACTCAAAGGAGTGGTTAACAGCATGTTAAAGCAAGTCTTCTGAAAAGCCTCCAGATTTCAATCTGGCTGAACAGGAACAGATCTAACCATTTCTCCATCCAGCCCAATATTGCATGCTCTAGGCATTTCTGCGAGGTTTAAGCCTAGTAAGATATTCCATATCAACTAGAACATGATCCTCCCCAATTATGGAGATACCAGGGAAACAAAACATATGCCCTTTCTACCAAAGTTTGACCCTCCCCTCAGACTGCTCTCCCTTTCACTATAAGCTGCCATATTGTTTTGTTATTTTTCTGAATACAATTTTTCTTATCCCCTATCTGAAGTGGGCCACAGAGGTTTAGCAGAAGCCAATCTTGTGCCCAAGCTTAACACATCCACAAGAAATCCAGGCAAATCTGGAAATGGACTTGTCCGTGTGAACCTCTCCACATTCATCTTCCCATTGACCAAAGGGATGTCAGCTGTCTCCATGACCAATTGTGGCCAGTCAACTCTGTCCTGCAAAACCTCTGACTTGAAAAACATGTTCCCAAAATAAACAGCCTTTCTTTTCCATTTTCACAGGGATGGTGGGGCTTAAAAGGGCAGCAGCCATTCACTCATGCCTCAGTGAGTGCTGCCAACTTTAAAACCATTCTGGCCTTGTATCCAATGAGAACTTGCTCAGAGGACGGCTGTGAGGCATCAGGAGTCTTTCGGCTTTGGCCTCAAGCCTACATGAACTCAGCCTCCCTAGATTAGAAAGATGGCCCAACTAGGTTCAAACACACAACAGTAAACTCAAATAATGAGAAAGCTCAGCAATAACAAAGCTGAAATACAGCTCTTGGCCTCAGCTTTAATGAAGTATCCCTTGATTTTATTGTCAGGTTTGCAGTGATCAAGGAAGCAAATTGTTCCTTATCCTGAGAAGGCCTAAGGATCACTTTGGAAGCACCAGAGATGCTAACACAAGAACAGAGACGTAACATTTTCAGTAATTTTGAAGCTATGAGAAAAAAACAGTTGGGGTGTTTTTTTTCACCTGGGAAAAAAAAACAGGGAAACTTTAAAATGTTTTAATTTTTTGCCTCAAATGAAACTATAAGCTGCAGAATCCTAAGAAACCTCAGCTTTGTTAATTTGGTCAGTTTGCCAAACCAGAAAACAGCAACCATGAAGGCAGAAATAAACCATCTACAGATCACAAAACAAAATTATGTCCTCTGAGGCCTAATGGAGAACAGATCCAACAAGCTCCAAACTAAAATATTATCAGCAGACAATCCCATAAGCAACCTGGGAGCTGAATTCTTGGAAGGGGGGAAGAGTCTGGAATCAGATCACATTTCAGCCTGAGAGCTGAATTGTCCCTACTTGTCCTCTATTTAGAGAAAATTTAGCACTCTGGAATTTGAGATAAAACTTATTATAAATGAATAGAAAACATATGGAAGGAATAAAGGATATAGCAATCCAGAAGCACTTTGTGATACTGCATTCATTATTCCAAAGAAATTTCATTGGTGGCTTTTTATTCTTGCCATCATTTTTTACTTTTCCTGAAAAAATTTTTTTTAGAGAAGTCTGGGAGAAAATGAAAATTCCCTCTTTTCTCAATTTTTTTCCCAATTTTCTTCTACCATTTGCACAAGAGAATAAATCTATTATCTTAGTCCTAGGTAAATCCAAGATATTTTTTTCCGCTCCCACACGCTTATCACTTGATTTGGTGAAGAACGCTAGCATTGCTCAGAAATTACCTCAAACTCTTTACTAAAGTAATGTTTGAGAGACAGTGGGCAAACCATAGGCACCAACTGCTTAGGATTCTGCCATTGCAGAGAGGGAGGTAGTCCTTGACTTACAACCTCAAATGGAACCATTTCCATTGCTAAGTAAGATGGTTGTTAAGTGAATCATGCCCAATTTTATGGCCATTTTTGCCAAGCTTCCCACAACTAGCCCCAATCCATTGGGCTCACAACCTCTGGTGATCATAGAAAAAGAAGTGCAAGATCTATTACACAGGCAGAAGCCAGGAAAAGCACCAGGGCCAGACAAGTTAACTCCTTCTTGCTTAAAAGTCTGTGCGGGCCAATTAGCCCCCGTCTTCACCTGAATCTTCAATAGATCACTAGAGATGTGCTATGTTCCTTCCTGCTTCAAATGTTCTACCATCATCCCAGTGCCAAAGAAGCCCTCCATCAAGGAACTGAATGATTACAGACCAGTTGCTCTAACATCTGTACTTATGAAAATCTTTGAAAGGCTTGTGCTGTCCCACCTGAAAACCATCACGGATCTGCTGTTAGATCCCATGCAGTTTGCATACCGAGCAAATAGATCGATAGATGATCCTGTTAACATGGCTCTGCATTACATCCTACAACACCTTGAATCTCCAAATAAGGGTCCTCTTTTTAGACTTCAGTTCAGCATTCAATACCATCATTCCAGACATTCTTCTAAGTAAATTAAACCAACTAGCAGTACCTGAACACACTTGTAAGTGGATCATAAGCTTCCTAACAGACAGGAAACAGCAGGTGAAGCTAGGTGGAATCACATCGGATACCTGCACAATCAGCACAGGGAGCCCCCAAGGCTATGTGCTATCTCCACTTTTCTTTTCCCTATATACCAATGACTGCATCTCAAATGATCCATCTGTTAAAATACTGAAGTTTGCTGATGACACAAGAGTGATTGGTCTCATTCGAGACAACGATGAATTTGCATACAGACAGGAGGTTATACAACTTGCCTCGTGGTGTAACCGGAACAATCTGGAACTGAACACACTCAAAACCATAGAAATGGTGGTAGACTTTAGAAGAACCCTCCCATACTACCACCTCTTACAATACTAGACAACACAGTATCAACAGTAGAGACCTTCAAATTTCTAGGTTCTACTATATCAGGTGACCTAAAATGGACACCTAGCATCAAAAACATCATCAAAAAAGCATAACAAAGAATGTTCTTTCTTCACCAACTCAGGAAGCTCAAACTGCCCAAGGAGCTGCTGATACAGTTCTACAGAGGAATTATTGAGTCTATCATCTGCACCTCTATAACTCTCTCGTTTGGTTCTGCAACCCAACAGGACAGTCACAGACTTCAGAGGATAATTAGGACTGCAGAAAAAACAATTACTACCCACCTGCCTTCCATCGAGGACCTGTATACTGCACCAGTCAAAAAAAGGGCTGTGAAAATATTTACAGACCCCTCACATCCCGGACATAAACTATTTCAACTCCTTTCCTCAAAACGACGCTATAGAGTAGGGGTTGCCAACTTTTTGGACTTCAGGGACCACCAAACTCATAATTTTAGATCCCAGGGACCACTAACCGGTTCTGTGGGCATGGCCTAATTTGTGGGTGTGGCTTGGTGGTCATGTGACTGGCTGGGCATGGCTTGTATGTAAATATTGTAAATATTTATATAAATATTGAATTTTTTATAAAAAAAGAGCAACTTTTACCCCAAATCAGGCAAAGCAGGCAGATTGACTTTCTCACAGAATCATTCAGTGATCTATCTGCCATCAGCTAGCTCAGTCTCTCAAATTTGCTTGCCATGAGTCTGCACGAATTTGCTTGCAAGCAAACCCTCAGTCCTAAGGGAGGTTCAGCTGTGCTGAGCCGAAGATCTAAAGACTAACTAGAAAGCAAGAAATTCAACCATTTCCTGCTTCCTAGCTAATCTAAATCTCTCAGCACAGCAAAACAGATGATGGTTGGAAAAAAGGAAAAATAGCAATTTAGCAGGCAAGTTTACCGGGTGAGGAATGAGTGGGCGGGGAGAGTTCCTGTGGGCCATGTGGGCGGTGCAGCCTTCTTTCTGCGCAGCCTGGATTAATTGCTTTGGAGGGGTGCTCTGGGGATGAGATTTCTCTGGGGCCCACCAAAATTTTCTCGCGGCCCACCAGTGGGCCGCGGCCCACCAGTTGGTGACCGTTGCTATAGAGTACTGCACACCAGACTAGATACAAGAACAGTTTTTTCCCGAAAGCCATCACTCTGCTAAACAAATAATTCCCTCAACACTGTTCAACTGTTTACAAAGTGTACACTATTACTGTTAATCTTCTCATCACTCCTTATCACCCATCCCCTCCCACGTGTGATTGTAGGACTGTAACTTTGTTGCTTATATCCTTACAATTTATATTGACTGTTTCCTTGTATGATTTGATGGTTGATTGTACCCTGTGACTATCATTAAATGTTGTATGTTATGATTCTTGATTCTTAATGAATGTACCTTTTCTTTATGTATACTGGGAGTATTTACAGCAAGACAAATTCCTTGTGTGTCCAATCACACTTGACCAATAAAGTATTCTATTTATCTATCTATCCATCCATCCATTCATCCATCCATCTATCTATCATAAGATGGTTACGTGAATCATGCCCAATTTTATGGCCATTTTTGCCACAACTGTAAAGCAAATCACTGCAGTTAAATAAATCATTTGGTTAAGCAAATCCAGCTTCCTCCATTCCTTTTCTGAAACTGTCTGGAAAGATTGCCACTGCAACTATCATAAATGCATGCCAGTTGCCAAGCACCTGAATTACTTTGATACACATGACTAGGGGGATGCTGCGCAGGATTGGTTGCAAGTCCCTTTTTTCAATGCCATTGTAACTTTGAAAAGTTGCTAAATGAATGGTCGTAAGGGAAGGACTACCTATATCTGCTCACTTCAATAAAGGGAGACTCTATGCTCTTTTGCAATGGAATGCAACATCCTAAAGTAGTAGATGGTCATGTGGTCCCACCGTTTTTCAAAGATCATCCCCTAAGGAAATCAGGATAGGCTAGACAAGTTTATAAAATATCAGAAACCTTTTGTGCACTTTTTAGTGAAAAGAGGGTATAACTGAGTTAAAAGACTTGAATTTGCCAGTCAAAAAGGGCTGGATATGAGAAGTGATTCTATGCAATGTAAGTTCTTTAAATACCTCTATTACTTTTTGCACATTTTTTCTTTATATTCCTATCTTTTTAAAAAAAACTCACTTCATTTAATCTTTTTTTTTAATTACTTTTTAAAAACTTCCCAAATTAAAAAAAACAACCCAGCCATAAAATTTAGTGAAGGTTGAGCCCTTATGAAATTCCATCCATTCTATTATGGAAACAATGCACGTACAATACTAAATCAAGTCCTTACTATGGAATTAATGATACTTAACCTTCGTCCTGCTTTTCTTCAGAGGAAATAATACTGCATGAAAAAAGCATTTTAAATCACAGGAAACCACACACACACACAAAAAAATAAAAACAGCCTGGGGAAAAGGGACAGGTTTACACTGAGCTCAGAGAAATTTGTGTGTATGTGTACAAGAAAAAGAGAGAAATATTACTTCAAACTGAGCTCTCCTCTTGCTATGTAGGGTTTTTTTTAGCAGTATGACCAAGTGGTTTGACCCTATCTTCTTTTGATAAGTTTTTTTCAACTTCCTACTTCAGTCTACAACTCTAGCTCTTCCCCATTAAAGGACTAACCCAGGCTGCATCTTAGTTTCGGATAGCAGCCACGGTTAATTAGGTGCTGCCATCTCAGCAGATGTCTACACCTTCAAAATAAAAGCAATGCAGTTCTATTTGCATGCATGGTGTACATTTATTTATATTTAATTTCTAATTTCCAACTAACTTCCTGTGGGTCAGACAGGAACAACCAAAGGGCAGAATGTGGCTCCGGTCTGCCCTATAGTGACCAGGAGGTGAGCTTGGCTTGATGGCATCTTCTTGAAAATAAACCTTCATCCACTGCCCTTTGGAGAGTTTGCGTGTCCAGGCATTCGAAGAGATCCTGTCTTCAGGCAGGCCTTATGGAGTCCAGGTAGGGAAAGCTACCTTAATGGCTTATGGGCTGTTTTGTATTTGGGACACGTTTTATTTGCAGCAAACAGCTGCTTCAAATGCATCTGGGTAGATGAAATTTCTCCGATTTCTGTTCCTAACTGGCCAAGGTCCTCAAAAGGGGAAGGAAAGCAAACCATGATTTATTTTCTATCTTCAAAACAGCACATATGGAGTCCCCCCCCCTCCATCTTCTCTTAGAGGAGTAAGAGATCCGCAGCATCAAAGGCTGCGATGACCTAGTTGAGATTTTAGCAGTTTTAACGTGCATGTCCTCAATTCCAGTTAACCCCTAGCCACTGCATTAAAAAATAAATTTAAAAAGCCTTGTAAACAAATCTCTCCCACACACACCCTCCGCACTTGCTGCTCTCATTTTCACCCCCTTACCAAGTCTGACCTATTAAAACCACCTCCTCCTCTCCCCCCCCCAAGAGACCACAGTACTGACCCGCTCCTATGCAACAGGGCTGGGGCGTGGGGTTAATCAAGGCCAACGGCGCCACTTAAAACCGTCCCAGTGTTTGTGGTGAGTCAGTGCCAAGGGAGAAGCTTTAAGTGCTGGTTATTTTTAGCCTCTGCCAATAGCTGGAGAAAAGTTTGGACTGCGGGTGAGGGAGCAGGTTGCCAAAAAAAAAAAAAAAAAAAAACGAAAGGAAGAAAGAAAAAGAAAAAAATAGCTCCAGTTCCCAGCTCTTCTTTGCCTGCAAATTCGGGTCAGCGCCTCACGTGTCCTCCTCCTCTCGCTCTCGTTGAACGAGTGTCGGGAACAGGCAACGTGCTGGAGTCGAGCCAAAGCGGAGCGAGGAGACACCTGACTCACGATTCACGTGGCTCGGCGGCGCAGGCCATTCCGATGGCAGGCGGGGGCTTTTTCGCCCTGAATCGCTCGGGATGCAAAAGGAGAGAGAACAAGGGAAGAGCCCAGGCGCGCCTCGGAGGCTTACTTGCACATTTCATTACGGCTAGGAAGGAACCCAAAAATATCACAGAAGGTGGAATCCCGGAATGAATTTTTTTTTGGGGGGGTGGGGTGGGGGTGGAAATTCAGCAAAAGAGAGGCGCTTTTGCATTCGCTTCGTGATATCTTATGTAATCAATTAACTTGGTTAAAACGGGGTTGCCTCGTTTTGTGGTTCTGTGTGTTGTGCAAACAGGGCCGAAGATATAGCACAGCAGCTGCAGAGAACTGCACGATCCCAAGAAACAGATGCTTCCCCACGTTGTAGGCAGATGCCACAATGTACGGACACACTCGCTTGTCATATTGATATCTTTATTGTTTCGCAAAATGAGCTCCTTAAAGCAGCAGTATCTCCCCCTCAAGAAGAATTCGCTTATTTAATGAATACGTTCGAGGTAGAATTTTTTAATTTCAGCTGTCACCTCCCATTTCCCCCACTGTTTTGCAATCCAGCTAAATTACTTGTACGAATCTAAAATAGTAGGTTGAGTCCATATATCACACTATAGGCTATATATTATAGTATGAGTTTGAAGTCAGAATGTAGTCATCTAAGTCTACAAGCCATGGTTCAACTGATGTAATTTGTTACTTGTATAGAATATGTTCCAATAAGTGGTAGTACGCTTGTCTGATTCTTACTAAAAGTTAAATGGGATCATTCCTAGTTGTATTTGCATGGGATACCACTAGGAAATTCCTGACTATGCAATACACTAGGAAGTTGGGAAAAATATCCCAAAATGTTTTGAAAAGTATCTGGAAGAACCATTTCAGATGTCACACAAACCCAACTCTAGGATTTGTTACTCACTGAATCAGTCCATCTTCAGGCCTGGAAATTAAGAAATCTGCAACTTTTAAAACAACTTTTGAATTACACAGAAGCCTGAAAAAAGG